ATAGAACCCCCACCAAAACCCTCCCCTCTAGGGGAAGGGATTATTGTTTTGAAAACCGTGCTAGTCCCACTCAAACCCCCTTCCCTCTAGGGGGGATGTTTAAATAATCATGGAACAACGCATAGAACCCTACCAAAACCCTCCCCTCTGGAGGGGTTATTGCTTTGAAAACCATGCCGCCCCACCCAAACCCCCTTTCCCTCTAGGGGGATGTTTAAATAACCATGGAACAACACATCGAAGCCCCACCCAAACCCCCCTTCTCTATGGGGGATGTTTAAATAACCAAGAAACAACACATAGAACCCCCATCAAAACCCACTCCTCTAGGTGATTATTGTTTCGAAAACCGTGCCACCCCACCCAAAACCCCCTTCTCTCTAGGGGGATGTTTAAATAACCATGGAACAATGCATAGAACCTCCACCAAAATCCACCCCTATGGGGGGATTATTGTTTGAAAAACCGTGCCGGCCCCACCCAAACCCCCCTTCCCTCTGGGGATTGTTTCAATAACCGTGGAACAACGCATAGAACCCCAACAAAACCCTCCCCTCTGAGGGCATTGTTGTTTCGAAAACCGTGTCAGCCCCACCCAAACCCCTCTTCCATCTGGGATGTTTAAATAACCATGGCACAATGCATAGAACCCCACCAAAAACGTTTTTGAATTCATGCATAAAATTTTTTATCTTAAAGCATAAATTCATGAATTTTTGAAACTTCAAAATAAATTCAAAATGGATCTTGAATCACGCATAAAAATGTCACGAGTTCAACGCTGAAAACCGTTTTTGTATTTGATGTTTCGTTGAAGATTTATCGCTAAAAATGGAAGAGATTCCATTAAGTTACGTGCATGCACATGCGCCAGTGGTGTCAGGTTATATCAGTTGCAATGTACTCCCTCTGTCCCAGTATAATAGTTGTTGTAGCACTCAACAAGGTACATCATTTATTGTCTGAACTTGGCCGTGTACACACTCCGATGCTTGCTCTCTCCACTGAACCTGGACGTTTTGAACCAGCGCCAGAACGACATAAATTGTGGGACAGACGGAGTAAGGCCCCGTTCGCTTCATTAAAAATAAGTCAAAATATTATTTCGACTGATTTGTTGCGAGAAAAAAATATTATTCTAACTAAAAAAAATTAAAAAAGACAAATTATAAGATAAACGAACCCTGCCTTTATCTCGTTGGAAGGTAAATGCGGTAGCCTCTCGTTGGAAGGTTTCTATGCGGTAGCCTAATTATGTGTTATTCAATCAACCACTGTCTTCTATGCAACGTCAGCCAACCTCATGTTTCTACGCGGGATATAAATTGGATTTATGCGTCCTGCTATTCGTACCCAGCAACCGAGAGCGGTCAACGAGCGGGGACCGCGCGGACTACACGAACGAGCGCAGGGGCCGACAGCGCCCTGCCAGCTGACGCGAAGGAGGCGGGAGCGCGACGCGGGGGGGCCATCCCTCCTGCCGCGCGGAGGCGACAACGCCAGCGCCGGGACCACGCGCGCGCGCTCAGCCAGGAAAAGGGAGGGGGCGCCTCGTGGCAACCTGGTTTGGTGGAACCGCGTCAGCTGAGTTCGGGCCAGGGCTTTCAATAACTAGTGGAGCCCTACGCTTCCAATAATATATATATATGAAAATTATTTTCTACTCTTAGAAATAGTTAATGTGTATATTTCTAGATTTATGATGTATATGACTCGACGAAGTGTATGTAGATGGAATATATCATCATCCTAGATCATCTAGAGTACTATGTTTGACAAGTATGTATGTATATTTATACTTTAGACTATATAGTTATACTTACTTTATATGCTACTATCATAGTATTATATCACGGGCTCTTGCTTGTATCCTTGTTTTGTATCGAAATTGTGATTTTGCCCCTATTTTTTTTGACTTTGTGAATTTACCCGTACTGTGCCATTCACGAAGCACCAGTTTGTCCCTGCTCCGTCATCCACCCCTAATGGTGTTAAACTTTGTACAAAAGACATGAATGCCCATGTGATTTTGCCCCTTGTTTTTATGCCTAATTGTGATTTTGCCCCTGTCTGGTCGAGGCTCGGTTCTTGGCTTGCTTGTGGCGGCTGGGGCCTAACTTATTTGGGCGCAGAGGTCAGCCGTGGCAGCTGGGCTCTGAGGGGCGGGCGCGGGGAGAGCGGGGGCGGGCCTTTGTCTTGTACGTCTTGAGGATCTGAACGTCGTCGGGGAGGCGTGGATAAGCGCCGCGGGCAGCTCTCGATCTCGTGCTCGGTCCATGAAAGCGAGCGATGCGGCTCTGACCAGGGCGGCGTCGCGAACTTCGGTTGGCATTGGTTCTTGGCGGAGGAAAGGTGGCAACGGCGGCGGTCCACGCATCAAGAAAAAGCGGCGGCGGTCGAGCATCGCATGCACCATAGGGAAGGCAAGGGGCGCGGCTTCGTCGGAGCGAGCTCGCATATCACCGCGCACGCAGCCGTAGGTCGGCCTGTGGTGGCTCTCGCCGTCGGCTCGTCTTGTGGCGCGGCGGGGAGGCGGACGCTCCGGGTCGTAAAGCGGCACCAAAGACGATCCGAAGTCGGCGGCGCCGTCCAAACGCGACTCCTCCACCTTCCTCTCGCTTCGTAGGTGCAGGCACGGAGCTGCGTGGGGAGGAGGAGCGGAGGAAGGAGGGGAGGAGGCGGCGCGGAGACCCGCTACTAGGCGCCACCGGGAGCCGCGGCCAGGCGCCGCCGGGAGCCGCGTCCAGCCCGCCGACGAGACCGGGCGCGCCTCCTTGCACGCGGCCGCTGGCCGCCGCCCGCCACGCCACACCACCGGCCCCTACCCCCCCCTCATTTGCTGCCACCACACCAGCGTCACGCGCGTGGGGAGACTTCGTCCGGCGGCGGGCGAGGAGGATGTCGGATCCGCAAGGAAGGGCCTCGTTCGGCGGGCGGGTCGGAGAAAGCCGCGACGAGAGGGCTCGCTTTGCACACACGGGATCCGCAAGCCGAGAAGGCTTCGCTTTACTGCGTCGGAGGCTTCGCCCGAGATCCACGCCAGGAGGGGACTTCGCCGATCCCAGCAGCAGGAGGCCTCACCTATCTGCGTCGGGGAAGAGAAGCCAGGGACGCCGCCGTCGCCACCCAGACTCGCTGTCGCGAGCAGATAGCAGCGAAGAGAACGAGCGGATAAGAATGAAGAGGAAGGGGCATTTCAGTCATTTTGCATTTGATTTTATGTGTTTTATTTTTTTAAATCATTTAATCAGCCCCTAAATAACGGACATCCAAACCAGGGGCAAACGGCTCCTTCGTTTCAAAATAACAGGGGTAAAATCACAAAGTTGAAAAAATAAGAGTAAAATCACAATTGAGCTTTCGAACAGGGGCAAAAACACCGTTTTCCATATATTAAAAAATATGTGCTGTTTTAAAAAAACACATAGTAGAGATATGGAGTATCTTAATATTAGTATATCAATATACTCAAACTGATAAATGAGTATGTACACATACGTAACGTGATTTATTGATTATGGGAGTAACTACTCCTGGGAGTATATAAAATGATATATATATATATATATATATATATTTGTAAAAGAATATTAAAAACCAAGGAGATCATAGCCAATTTTGGTCTGCACTGGAGGCTCCTTCAAAGTGGCTCACAAGCAGTTTCTCAGGTAGAACTAAACCTTTTTAGAAAAGCATTTGATAAAATGGCTTCTTCTAGTTTTCTAGTAGAATAGAAAAATATAAAATGTCCATAATGACCCTCTATAATTGATTGACCACCTGCTAATGTAGCACCTCTCCTTGTTGAATTCAACTTTTTTAGCCACATAATATAGAGAGTACATTACACTAGTGATCCCTAAACTCTATTACGTCATCAACAAGGTTCTTGAACTGTGAAATTGCATATCTAAAGCCCAAACAGCTTTTTTCCCCTATTTGGGCCTTACAAGCCTTGTAAATTGTAAATATTCCCTTTCTCATATATAAAAGTTAAGTAGGGGCCTCCCCTGCTGACCCTTAAGAAAAGTCGCTATACTATTTAAGTGCCCCCAATCACAGTCCAAAATAGCCACATCAAAGTCATTGGCTGATGTGGCGCTTCAATGTGAAACCAACATATAGATCCGTAGCTTATAATTACACAAACGGTCACTAAACTATCACGATATTCTCCCCCAAATCCCAAAATATGGAATGACATATTTGGGTCCCTAATATATTAAACTACTCTAATCCTGGTCCAAAACTCTCTCTCTCTCTCTCTCTCTCTCTTCCAAATTTCAATTTTAGAGATGAGCGTTGGCCACATGTATAAATCTGGATCTATACAGATGCTATGTGACAGGTGTCTCCGCGTATGCACCTCGAAACTCTTTTTACCCGCCTCAAATTAACCTGTACTGTTGTAGTGTGATACGGAAAAATAAACTAGAGGCTGAAATAGCTGAAACTTTGTTGACCGTTCTTGAGACTGGTTTCTCTACGTCACCTTTTTGATATTACGGTCGACTTGATAGTTCATCTCCGTGCCAAAGCAAAAATGGCTGGCCCTGTTCATTAATCATTATTATCGCAGCAAAAATGGTGAATGTTGAATCGACCGATTGTCGTCGGTCGATAAAGATTACGTTGGTCGATAAATCTCTTTGATGTCTAAATTTATGCTGCCTGTAATGTCAGTCCCGTCAGATAGTGTGCCTATGGGAGGATCTTTGGTGATACCAAATCTGCCCTTTGTACTGTCATGGTATAGTGCAATGAGCTTAACAAGCATTACAGATTATATATATATATATATATATATATATATATATATATGAGAAACGGAACATATTTATTATTTTCGACATACAACACAAGCAAAGTCCAGTGATACAGCAAGAGCCCGTCGTCCACGTACTTATTTATTCTTGCGGATTCGATTTTTCCAACACAACGCCTTGCATGGCATTCATCACCTTGTTAATCCCTCGCCCACGGTTTCGATGACGATGTCGTCAGGGCAGCGTGTAATCTGTGAAAGTCAAACAGATTCAGGTGAGTGAGAGAACTGCACAAATGTATATTGTTTACAGTTTTGTAGGATCCACGCCTTTACATACATGGATAATTGGATATATTCTTTGAAATATGCATGTACACGACGTACCTCCGCACTTGTAGCCGACGGGGCGATCGGCCATGTTGCAGCGCTTGGGGATGGTAATGGCGACCTCCGGCTTGATCCCGGCAGCCCTGGCGGTGCCGGACAGCATGACGGCGCAGAGGCAGCTGGGGCTCTTCCCGATGGCGTGCACGGCCGAGCAGCAGCTGCTCGTCGGCGTCGACTGCGGGTCGTCGGCGGCCGAGATGCATGGCGCCAGCCTTAGCGCCACCCTGTCAGCGGAGGCTCTCCCGCACTCCCCCGCGCCATGCGCCGCACCGGCAATCACAAAAAGCAGAGCAAGCACAAGGAGCGGCCTCATTGGTGATGCGTTCTGCTCTTGCGCTACTAAGCTGATCTACTCCACTAGTGTAAATCAGTCTGCTGTTGCCCTCTCCTATAAGTCTGTTGGTGCTTATATAGTGCTGGCGACACTGATGAGGGTTAGGGACTACGTTTAATTCATGACCGCTCTTGGCTAAATGGAGCGACCACCTGGCACTAACTTATTGCATCGTGCGACAGCACTCTAGTAGTGTTGTCTCCACTTTGGCTAGTGAGTGTTCACTTGATTAGCTGCAAAACCGGCTAGTGGGCTTCTGCATTGGACAGCACACTGCACGCGCAGTGGCCTCCTCACTTCTCAGTGTGTGGATGCGACATAAGCCATCAACCGGATCAAAATGCTTCTTAGTAAAATGGAAACTGAGCGATGGGTAGAAGGCACCCGAGCACGCTCGTATGTCGGCACATAAGGATGAGGCGTGGCATGCAGATTTTTCCTCACGTCCGTTGGTTCAAAGGGTTTGGATTTATCTGTATCACTGTAGTGCACTGTAGCATTCGTTTGTATTTGGTAATAATTGTTCAATCGTTGACTAATTAGGCTCAAAACGTTCGTCTCGCAAAGTATAACCAAACTGTGTAATTAGTTTTTGATTTCGTCAACATTTAGTACTCCATGTATATACCGCAAGTTTGATGTGACGGGAAATCTTCTTTTTACATAGTGCAAAAGTTTGAATTTTGGGTAACTAAACACAGCCTTTATTACTAGATACAGGGACACCATCTTTCACAGGGAGTGGAATACAATTCAAATTTGAGCTATCTTGGTTTACACATGACGAGCCAAGGCAGTCGGGGCCATGCCCCAGCGACCGTGCGGGCACGGCGAGGGCGGCAGCGGATGAGCTTGACACTAGGCCCTGGATGGGCTCGCGTTTGGTCTCGCCTACCTTTCTTATTTTTTTAATTTGATTTACCCAGACGGGACGCATTAACGCAGACCTTAGTCTCGAGGCGGACTGGTTGCCCGCCTGTGTAAATGAATTTTGAGCACCTGCCAAAATGTACTGTGTGGTAGTGCTAACGGCTGAGATTTGTGATCTGTCTGAAGCAGAGCGAGACTATCTTGCTCTTGCTCGAGATCAGTTAGCTCAAGTACTTCGAGAGGAGGAAATAAAATATTTCCAAAGGGATAAGGTGAAGGATGTTCTTCTAGGAGATAATAATACACGGTATTTCCAATTAATTGCCAATGGTAAGCATAGGAGGAAGTGCATTTTTTCACTTGATCAAGATGAGGGAGACATTGAAGGACAGGACAACCTAAAAGAGTATGTTACCAAGTTTTATAAGGAGCTATTTAGGCCACTAGAGGAATCTTCATTTGCCCTAGATAGCTCTAGGATTGTTGATATACCACAACACCGGAAGAGAATGGATGCCTAACTTTCCCATTTACAGACGAGATTCGAGATGCTATTTTTGATATGGAACTTAACAAAGAACCTGGCCCAGATGGTTTCCTAGCCGAGTTTTATCAAAAGTTTTGGGGCTATCAAAGCCGTGGATAAAATTCGGCGTGACTTTCTTTGGAGAGGCTGTAAAGATGCAAAAGGTAGACATTGTCTTGTGCTTGGGTCAAAGTTTGTCGGCCACCGGAACTTGGAGGCCTGGGAATTTCAGATCTTGGTCTCTGCGCATGAGATGGGTTTGGCTGCAAAAAACAGAGCCTCATCGCCCTTGGGCTGCTCTCCCCTTCCATGTGCCTGAGCAAGTGAGAGCCTTCTTCTCAGTAGCAGTGAATTCTATAATTGGAGATGGTGCAAATACACTTTTCTGGACAGATCGGTGGCTCCATGGACAATGCATTGCAGACCTTGCCCCTCGCTTTTTCGCGGCTATCCCCAAAAGGAGGGTCAAGAGGCGCATTGTCCGGGACGCCCTCACTAACCAGGCTTGGATTTCAGACATTCAGGGAGCTTTTACAGATGGTGTTGAAAGGATCAAGATGCCCAAGAGGGGGGGTGAATTGGGCTAATTCTAAATTTTCTTGCAATAATCAAATCCTACGGATAGCCCAATTAACCCCTTGTGCCTAGAAAAGTGTTTATATCAAACTAATGCACAACAACCTCGCAACCTATGTTCCAAACTTACTCTAGCAAGCAATTCTATGGATGTGAAACAAGTATTGAATTGCTCAAAGTAAATACTCAAAGTAAGTGCTCAAAGTAAATAGAGAGAGAAAGGAACGCGGCGATGTTTTGCCGAGGTATCGGAGAGTCGCCACTCCCCACTAGTCCTCGTTGGAGCACCAGCATGGGTGTAGCTCCCCTTGATCCGCCAGCAAGGATCAAGTGCTCTCTGGGTTGATTCTTCGACACTGTCATGCGGCGAATCACCCAAAACCGCTCACAACTTGAGTTGGGTCACCCACAAGCTCCGGCCGGTGATCACCAAGCTCCCAATCACCACCAAGCCAGTATAGGTGATGGCGATCACCAAGAGTAACAAGCACGAACTCTCACTTGACCACGCGAAGCCTAATGAGAAGATGGATGCACACTTGTCTACTCTTGATTCACTAATGAGGTTTCACTCTTGGATTCTCAAATCACAAAACACCTCACTAGGACCTTACTCTTCTTGGCACTCACAAACGTGTTTCTCAGCTGTTGGAATGAGCAAAAGTCACTCCACACTCGAGTGGAGCTTCTATTTATAAGGCAGCCTGAAAAACGAACCGTTATGAGCTTCTGCGGGATGACCGGATGCTCGATCATATTGACCGGACGCTCCGGTCAGTTCAACCAACAATAGCAGTTTCAAGTGATGACCGGACGACGACGGGTCCGGTCAAGACCTGAACGAACGCTCGTCCGGTCGATCTTGATGCTTACTATAATCGACCGGACGCTGGATACTCAGGGTCCGGTCACCACTGACCGGACGCGTCCAGTCACACTTTCTCAAGTCTGGACCCTTACTGGAGTCGACCGGACGCTGGCCTTCAGCGTCCGGTCACACGACCTTCCAGCGTCCGGTCACTCCAGACTTGTTCTCCTTAGTCAAATGAACTGACCGGACCTGCGGCGGCGTCCCATTCAAGACGGAGCGAAACCAGCCGGTCGGTCAATGATTTGACCCTCCATTCACTTCCAACTTTCGATCATATGAGAATGAAGTTAGCTCCAAAGGATCTTAGGCATTCATAGGAGCTACCTAGAGCTAGTTTTAACAAGTGTGCACCACACCTAACTCACTAGACTCAACTAGGTCAAGTTATCCGTTCATACCCCCCTTCATAGTACGGCCAAAGGAAAAACAAAGTCCTAAACTACTCTAAGTGTCTCTCCAACTTCAATTGACACTTAGAACTAGTTATCCTTAACCTTGTCGTCCATCCTTTGAAAACCGAAACGATTTCCATCGTAGGGGCTGAAAGTATCAAGATGCCCAAGAGGGGGGGTGAATTGGGCTAATTCTAAATTTTCTTGCAATAATCAAATCCTACGGATAGCCCAATTAGCCCCTTGTGCCTAGAAAAGTGTTTATGTCAAACTAATGCACAACAACCTCGCAACCTATGTTCCAAACTTACTCTAGCAAGCAATTCTATGGATGTGAAACAAGTATTGAATTGCTCAAAGTAAATACTCAAAGTAAGTGCTCAAAGTAAATAGAGAGAGAAAGGAACGCGGCGATGTTTTGCCGAGGTATCGGAGAGTCGCCACTCCCCACTAGTCCTCGTTGGAGCACCCGCGCAAGGGTGAAGCTCCCCCTTGATCCACGCAAGGATCAAGTGCTCTCTACGGGTTGATTCTTCGACACTCCGTCGCGGCGAATCACCCAAAACCGCTCACAACTTGAGTTGGGTCACCCACAAGCTCCGTCGGGTGATCACCAAGCTCCCAATCACCACCAAGCCATCTAGGTGATGGCGATCACCAAGAGTAACAAGCATGAACTCTCACTTGACCACACGAAGCCTAATGAGAAGATGAATGCACACTTGTCTACTCTTGATTCACTAATGAGGTTTCACTCTTGGATTCTCAAATCACAAACACCTCACTAGGACCTTGCTCTTCTTGGCACTCACAAACGTGTTTCTCAGCTGTTGGAATGAGCAAAAGTCACTCCACACTCGAGTGGAGCTTCTATTTATAAGGCAGCCTGAAAAACGAACCGTTATGAGCTTCTGCGGGATGACCGGACGCTCCGGTCAGTTCAACCCGCGCAACAGTTTCCAAGTGATGACCGGACGCTGACAGGGTCCGGTCAGCACTGACCGGACGCGTCCGGTCGATCTTGGATGCTTACTGTAAACGACCGGACGCTGGATACACAGGGTCCGGTCACCACTGACCGGACGCGTCCGGTCACACTTTCTCAAGTCTGGACCCTTACTGGAGTCGACCGGACGCTGGCCTTCAGCGTCCGGTCACACGACCTTCCAGCGTCCGGTCACTCTAGACTTGTTCTCCTCAGTCAAATGAACTGACCGGACCCTGCGGCCAGCGTCCGGTCGCACCGGAGCCAGCGTCCGGTCAGTATTTGACCCTCCATTCACTTCCAACTTTCGATCATATGTGAATGAAGTTAGCTCCAAAGGATCTTAGGCATTCATAGGAGCTACCTAGAGCTAGTTTTAACAAGTGTGCACCACACCTAACTCACTAGACTCAACTAGGTCAAGCTACCCGTTCATACCCCCCTTCATAGTACGGCCAAAGGAAAAAACAAAGTCCTAAACTACTCTAAGTGTCTCTCCAACTTCAATTGACACTTAGAACTAGTTATCCTTAACCTTGTCGTCCATCCTTTGAAAACCGAAACGATTTCCATCTAGGGGCATGACAACCTCAATTGCCCAATCGATCTCCATTACCACGACCTAACTTAATTGCCTCTGCAAAACACACGTTAGTCATAGAAATCTTGTATTGACATTAATCACCGAAATCCACTTAGGGGCCTAGATGCTTTCAATCTCCCCCTTTTTGGTGATTGATGACAATACCGCCTCGAGTA